CATGTATTTTTGACCTTAAAATAACAAGGTACGGAAAACATGGTAAAGTTAGCAGGGTGTTTTCCAGTTCTCAGCGTTTTTTTTTTCTATTCTTTCTTTCTTAATACACCAAATTCATAATGTTTCTGCTGCTGGCAACATAAAAATGCTTGTGGTGTTTTCCATTCACCGCAGAGACACTTTACATACAATGCACGTACGTTTGCGGGTGGGGGGGGGGGGCCTCTTTTTTTGTTGAATTTTCATTGGATGTTTGTGGATTTTATGTGAACAATGATGCAATTGTTTAAGCTATATTTCATGCAAAATTGCTTCCAGATTTAATCGCATAGCACCTGTTTTTTACAAATATTCTGGGGAGCATGCCAGAATTTGAATTTCGCACAAAGCTACACGAGGGCTATCTGCACTAGCCATCCCTAATTTAGCAGTGTAAGACTAGAGGGAAGGCAGCTAGTCATCACCACTCACTGCCAACTCTTGGGCTACTCTTTTACCAACGAACAGTGGGATTGACTGTCACATTATACCGTCCCCACGGCTGAAAGGGTGAGCATGTTTGGTGTGACGGAGATTCGAATCTGCGACCCTCAGAATGCGAGTCGAGCACCCAAACCACTTGGCCATGCCAGGCCTATAAGTTTTATAAATAACGTTTGAGATGTGTTTGTTCACTGACATGTGGTATGTAAAAAAGGCTTAAAGAGATACAATAACATCACTTTCAAAAACATTTCACAAAAATTAATAAACTATTAAGTTGACTAGATTTACCATTTTAGCATAGAAATTTGTGTATTTTGTTTTATGTTCAGAAAAGTCTTAAAACTTTGTAGAAATTTACATTCAATAAGCAAAGTTTATTTTTAATTGTGTGTAACAAGTTTAGTGTCTTAGACATGTCCCTAATCTTAAAATATTAGGGACATATAATATTCTGTGAATAACTTACACATGGGACTACAAGCTAAAATATAATATTCCATTATTATAAAAGTATGCATCTGATTTTATTATAAACTATACAAATTGTGGTAAGTTTCAAACATTGCAGTACCCCTGAAAAAAAATATTGAAAGAACTTGGATATTTTATTTTGCCCTTCTTATGTACAACTTGTTAGGAATGTGTAGTTTATTGAACATCTCAGTAAACACAAATAGTGTAATAACAGCAATAATAAAATAATGTATTTCTATACAACAAACAAAAATTATTTTACAGAAAGTTTTGTGTTGTCTGATTTTTGTGTGCAACTTATACATATCACCTTGAAATAAAATAAAAAATACATATTGTGACAATTATGACAAGTTTTCACTACTTATCATAATTTTATTTATCCACAGAAGTTCATCACCCAATGGGAGAGCAGACATAACTGATTCTAAGTAGAATACTTGATAATTATCAAAAATATTAATGTTGTACATATGTGTATCCTGACCAAAAAAAAAGGAAACAGGACCTGTATATAATGTCATGGCCTTGAAGCAACTTATACTTTATGTAATTAAAAATGATTTTGTCTCTTCACATATTTAACTTAATATAATGAGCAAGTATTAAAACTACGTTTTTTTCCCTTGGATGTTGTAGGTATTTTAATGATAGTTATCATATTGAAGCTTATATAAAACTATTTTTTACTATAACTCGTCGATTTACATACAATGGTTGTTAGTCGTACAAAAAAAAACACGAAAAATAATATCCTCATTTTACGTATATTTTTAAAGAATGAGAAGAAAAGAAGATGAAAACTAAAGTTATCTTTTATTCTGCCAGCTAAAAATTTGTAAAAGCAATTTTTAGTTTGTGGGAAAAGGTATTAAAAGTTTTGAAAAAAGCATACTGAAAATTTGATTCTTAATAATTATTCTGCCTAAAATTTCTACAAGCTGTTAATATTGCAAAGAAATTGGACAAACAACTAAAACATCAGTTTTACGTTTGTACATAAAAATACAAGCTCATTAAAGCACAACAGAGCATTGTAAGTCAGAAAACTGGGTAGATTACTAAGAACTGTTATTCAAATGTTATTCACAGAAATGTTTTCTTCTTAACTTTCACTGTTGTCTTGTGTTTTGTTTCCACGAAATATAAATTTCATGAAACTGTCTTCGTTTGGTTCTTGACATCCGACAACCTAATAAGAAAACATAATAGGACAACATATATATATATACTAGTAAATAAACAAAACATTTTTCAAATAATGTACTGTCATGTGAATTTAATTCATCAAACTTAGCAGAATTAAACTCTGCTATCGGCAAAGCCCACTGGGCTTAATTATGTAATAACATTTCAATGGACTCTAAAGAATTTAACCCACAAGTACAATAATTTAGAAAAATAAAAAACAATATTCATAGTCTTTTAAAAGAGCATTACTAAACTTATTAACATATAAAAACTCTAGAGAAATATGGTATTCAAATACTACTTACCTTACTCTTCTGTATTGCGTATTTCCAAAATATTTACATTTTTATAAAGTTCTAATTCAGAACACATTAATTTTGATAGGGGTCACATGCCAATAATCCTAGTGTTTGTTTTGTAGCAAGATCCATCTGATGTGGGACCTGCTCTTCATTTGCTATATGGAGCAGTGATATTCCAGATAATCATAATTCAAATATGACTGGCCAGCTACATACAGAGTGTGGAAAGTGAGAGAAATTTGTAACTAGATTTGTTTCTACCTTAAAGGAACTAAGACTTTTTGTGAAGTCTTGTCTTCATTTTCTGTCTTATCAGCTTGCTGCTTGTGCATGCATCATTCCTTTTAGTTAACTGGCAACAATAGCACCAATTCACTTTCAAGTATTCTGTACTTTCATTTTCTTTTACCTAAACACAGTTTATTTTCATTTTCAACTTTAAACAGAATGCAAAAGCCCTCTGCAACCATAGCCAGCATTCGGTCATCAGTATCACGAGATAACAAAGTATTTGTCTTCTTCATATCTAGTCTTAGCTGT